CCCCACCCAGCGTGAAGAGGCCCCCAGGGCAGAGCCTCTGTGCAACTGGACAAGTGCAGACGAGCAGGATATGAGAAAACTTCCCCCAGGAGGAGCAAAGGGGTGTATCCTGGGCCCTAAAATGCCCCCACCCAGGGAAAGAGGGAGACACAGGCAGTGCCTCCCTCCCAGCCTCTGGCTCCTCAGACAAAGAGTCTCTGTGTCCCTGGAGGAGAGAGGGTGGGGCCCCACCAAGACTGAGGGGGAGATGGGGGGCCCCTGAGAGAGAATCTCCCTAAGCCGCTCCTCATCCCTCCCCGGGGACACCCATGCCTGAGATTTCTCAGACTAAAAGGCTCTCATGAAGTTCCTGCCCTTGCCCTGCCTTGTTGGGAAGTTCTTTCTATAGTCCAACCACATCCTCTGACAGTTCTACTCCCATTTTCTTTTTGAAAGGGCCCTTTCTGGACCCACACTCTCTGTTGCTTTCTCTTACTCCTTCCTTCCAATCAGATATTCTTCCACCCAGAAACTCTCCACAACCCTGAATAATCTACAATCATAATAAAAATAAAAATTTTAAAAGCCAGTTATGGCTCGACGCCTGTGGCTCAAGTGGTAAGGCACCAGCCACATACACCTGAGCTGGCGGGTTCCAATACAGCCCCGGCCCGCCAAACAACAAAAAATAGCCAGGCGTTGTGGCCAGCACCTGTAATCCCAGCTACTTGGGAGGTGGAGGCAGGAGAATTGCTTGAGCCCGGGAGTTGGAGATTGCTGTGAGCTGTGATACCATGGCCTTCTACCCAGGGTGACAGCTTGAGGCTCTGTCTCAAAAATAAAGAAATAAATAAACCAGTTATAAGCATAGCAAGTGTGGAGAGGAAATATATGAGAGGTGAAAGAAATGGGGTACAGAGCATTTAAGGTATTACCCCCAGCTGCTCAGTCCACAATCAGGCGGGTCTCCCAGGCTTTTTTCCCTGCAGGGGATCTGTTGAAGTGTACTTAGGCAGGCTGGCGAGAGTCCGGTGTTACCCAGCGGAAGTCACACAGCCCGGGAGGGGATCAACATGGCTGCTGCATCCCGGACTGTGCTGATTTCAGGTTGCTCATCAGGAATTGGCCTGGAGCTTGCCGTGCAGCTGGCTCATGATCCCAGGCAGCGTTACCAGGGTAAGAGGACAGCATGGGTGGGCATGACTTCCAAGTACCTACAGCCCCAGCGCAATTAACACCACCCTGTCCCTTCCAGCTGTACTTGTGTGCCCTGGGAGGAACCAGGATGCCTGGTGTACATCCAGGAATCACTTTGTCACCCAAATATTTCTTGAGCACCTATTGGGTGCCAGGCACTATTCTACATACTGAGAACACCAGCTGGGAACAAAAAAGACAAAAATCTGAGCCCTGAGTACTGGTGTAATAGGGGAAGGGAAAGAGGAAAGACAATAAACTGATACAAAGAAATTGTAATATGTCTTGTGGGAATAACTGTTTAGAAGAAAAATAAAGTAGGAAGGAGCTCGGTAGGGGGTGAGTGGGAGATATTTTTAGAAGGGCTGGCCCAGGAATGCTTTTCTGAGAAAGTTTCACTTGGGCATTCCCTTGGATGAAATAATTATTACCCTGACATATGCTCCTCCACCTTGCCCCAGATTACTGCTCTGAGATAAGCCTCTTAAGGGCTCCTGACCTTGGGAGTTAAAAGGGGGCCCTCAATTTCTAGGGACTTGCCCTCCTGCAGTTTTGGAGTAAATTGCTCATACCTCACCAACCATGAGAACCCCTGCCCCAGAGCAGGAGTGGGTCAAAATAGGCAAAGGGTTGTTAGTTAAGAGGAGGCTTCTGGGGGTGAGGGCCTTGCCCCAGTTGGCAGGGATGCTTCTTACTGTTTTGAGACACACAGAGCTTGCTTAAGGTCACCCAGCTAGAAAGTGGCAGAGCTGGGATTTGAATGAAGGCAGCTGAGGCCCTGGGGCCATGTTTGCCTCTATATTGCATACAGATGCAAGTCCATCAGCATGGTCCCTGTGAATCTCATGGGCCCACAGGCAATATGCAAATGCCCTCAGGAATGTGCATGGGTGCTTTGGATGCACACATGAGGGGATATGCAAACACGTGTGCTTCTGTGCGTGCAGACATGGCACATACAGTAAGTCTGTGCTGAAGAGCATGAGTTTAGCAATCCACAACCCAGGTTCAAATCTCAGCAGTAGGCAAGGCGAGGTGGCTCACACTTGTAATCCTAGCACTCTGGGAGGCTGAGGATCACTAGAGACCAGGAGTTTAAGACCAGCCTGAACAAGAGCAAGACCCTATCTCTAGAAAAAAAATTAGCTGGGTGGGATAGTGGGTGCCTATAGTCCCAGGTACTCAGCATGCTGAGGCAAGACAATCACCTGAGGGCAGCAGTTTGAGGATGCTGTGAGCTATGATGCAGCTCCTGCACGCTAGCCTGGGGCGCAGAGTGAAAAAAATCTCAGCACTGGGGCAGCACCTGTGGCTCAGTGAGTATGGTGCCGGCCCCATATACTGAGGGTGGTAGGTTCAAGCCAGCCCTGGCCAAACTGCAACAAAAAAATAGCCGGGAGTTCTGGCGGGCACCTGTAGTCCCAGCTACTCGGGAGGCTGAGGCAAGAGAATCGCCTAAGCCCAGGAGTTGGAGGTTGTTGTGAGCTGTGTGATGCCACAGCACTCTGCAAAAAAAAAAGAACCTCAGCACTAACACTTACTAGGGGTGGGGCAGGAAAGGAACTTCACCTTGCTGCTGGGTCTCAGTTTGTTTATCTGTATAAAATGGATAATAATCTCCCCTACCTGTTCTGGTTATTATTGCTAAATGACAAATCACCCCCCAAATTTATGGTATACAGCAATCACAATTTTTTCTTTTTGAGACAGACTCTCGCTATATCACTCTGAGTACAGTACTGTTGCATCACACCTCACAGCAACCTCAGACTCTTGGGCTTAAGCAATTCTCTTGCCTTAGCCTCCCAAGTAGCTGGGACTACAGGCACCCGCCACAACACCTGGCTATTCTTTGGTTGCAGTTGTCTTTGTTTGGCAGGCCCCAGCTAGATTCGAACCTACCAGCACCAGTGTATGTGGCTGGGCACCCTAGTCACTGAGCTACAGGTGTCGAGCCAACAATCACAATAATTTTTTAATGGTTTACATAGGTCATGAATTCAGGAGGAACTCTGCTAGGTGGTTCTGGTTCAGGATGAAAAGTTGCAACTAGAGGAGCGGGGATTGGAAAACATGTGGAGGTTGGGCAGGCGTCTCTCTTCTTCCCAGTACTTGAAAGGCTTCTTAATGTGGTCTCTCTCTTTGGGCTAGCTTGGGCTTCCTTATGGCGCGGAAGGACAACTGGGGTACTTCATGGTGGCTGGCAAGAGTGACTGTTCTAGTGAGGTGCAGTGGCTCATGCCTGTAATCCTAGCACTTTGGGGAGGCTGAGGTGGGTGTATCACTTGAGCTCAGGAGTTCAAGATCAATCTGCGCAAGAGTGAGACCCCCCGTTGCTACTTAAAGTAGAAAAATTAGCCAGACGTTGTGGCAGGTGCCTGTAGTCCCAGCTACTTGGGAGGCTGAGGCAAGAGGATCACTTGAGCACAGGAATTTGAGATTGCTGTGAGCTATGACACCATGGCACTCTACCCAGGGTGACAGAGTGAGATGCTGTCTCAAAAAAAAGGGTAGGCCGGCAAGGTGGCTTGTGCCTGTAATCCTAGCACTCTCCAAGGTAGGTGGATCACCTGAGCTCACCAATTTAGAGACCAGCCTGAGCCAGAGCAAGACCTCATCTCTAAAAATAGTGGGGCATTGTGGCGGGCACCTATAGTCCCAGCTACTTGGGAGATTGAGGCAAGAGAATTGGTCAAGCCCAAGAGGTGGAGGTTGCTCTGAGGTGTGACACGATGGCACTCTACCAAGGACAACATAGTAAGACTCTGTTTTAAAAAAAAAACAAAAAACAAAAAACTGCCAGGTGCAGCAGTGACTCACTGCACCTGAAATCCTAGCACTTTGGGAGGCCAAAGTGGGCACATAGCATCACTACCAATGGTTCCCAGCTAGTCATAAAATTTAAGCAGAAAGGAA